ATGAGCTTTCCAGGTATAAGGCCCGTTGGGTTGTTCGTGGCTTCAATCAGCGTTTTGGCGTCGACAACGGCGAAACTTTCAGCCCCGTCATCAAGCCTGCCACTGTCTGCGTCGTTCTTAGCCTTGCGATGTCTCGGGGATGGCCTATTCATCAGCTGGATGTCAAGAATGCTTTCCTCCATGGCCAGCTTCAGGAAACCGTGTATGCCAGCCAGCCTTCAGGATTCCAGGATGCCAGTCGCCCTCACCATGTCTGTAAGCTGAAGAAAGCTCTAAATGGCCTAAAACAGGTGCCTCGCTCATGGTACCACAGGTTTGCAGGGTTCATTCAGACCATTGGATTTCACGGTTGCAAATCTGACACATCTCTCTTTGTCTTCTCACATCCTACGGGCAGCGCCTATCTTCTCTTATATGTTGATGACATCGTTCTCATTGCTTCCTCGTCGACACTTCTTCAGAGCCTTATTCAGAAACTCAAGGCTGAGTTTGCCATGACAGACATGGGTGATTTACACTTCTTCCTCAGCATCAATGTTCACCGCACAACCACGGGTCTCTTTCTCCATCAGACACAGTTCACCCATAACATACTTGAGCGCGCCGGGATGGTGTTCTGCCGCCCTATCTCCACTCCAGTGGACAAGAAGGCAAAACTCTCTTCCTCTTCTGGCACGGCACTACCAGATCCTTCTCTCTATAGGTCCATTGTCGGTGCATTACAGTATCTCACATTCACTCGACCTGATATCACTTATGCCGTTCAGCAGCTTTGCCTCCAAAAGATTTACAGGTTTTGACTAAAGTTGAAATTAAGGGAAGAATAATTTTGTGTTGACTTTCCAAAAATACCCTTGATGTGATGGGTAAAAGTAGGATGTGATGTGTAGATTATTAGGAAAAGGTATAATGTGATAGGTAGAGTTTGAAAAAGTAAAAGATAAAAATGGTTTTTTAGTAGAAATGAGAAGAAAATTGTGGGACACAATTTTTTTGAAACGTGTAAATCTTTTTGGGAGAGAGGAGTATAAACCTAAGCCAGTTAAAGATACTAAAAACCATAGTTTTAAAAACCGGACCGGACCGGCCGGTTCGGACCGTGAACTGGCGAACCGGTGGTCCAACCGGTCCGGTCCGGCCCATTGGACCGTAACCTGCTCCAAACCGGCCCAAACTAGTAAGAACCGGCCGGTCAGACCGGTCCGCCTAGTTTTTTTTTTTGCTGATTTTTTCCAAAACATGCCTCCATTGGGGTTTGAACCCAAGACCTCTTAGACATTTAGTTGAGCTTCTAACCATCCAAGCAATGGTGCTCTTTGTTACAAGTTCACATAATCTTTTATAATATTTCTTAATTACAAAAAAGATTGTATATAAATTCCTTTTCAATTTTATAAATATAATATTATATATCTATGAGTCAAACACAAAATCATTGATATTATTGATACTATTACAAAATGCAAATCATGCAAAGATTTCTTTTTTTATATTAAACAACTTATTTGAAAAAAATAAAATCAACTCTTCATTTAAAATTCTTTTATATTTTTTTAATATGTAAATTTTATTTTTTAATTTTAAAAAATAACTCAAGTATATTAATATAATATTACTTAAATGTTATAAATTACTTTCTTTAGATATATATAAATGAGAATGTGTGTGTGTCTATATGTATGTATGTATGTGTGTGTAAATATATATATACATATACATACACACACACATATATATATTTATTCATTTATATTTATATAATTTTTAAATATGTTTAAACCACCGGTTCGACCAGTGAACCAGTACCTTGACCGGTTCGGTCACCGGTCCGGTTCTGAAAACTATGCTAAAAACTACTCCCTATCCAAAAGCTGTTTTCCATACCCAATTGAAATGTACGGAGTCATCTTAAAAAATACTCGTAAAAAATAGGAGAGAGAAGCCTGAGGCTAGGGTTTTTAGATCTGAATCGAAGAGAAAAAGAATGGATGCGGAGAGGCGATGGGGCGATCCTCTAGATGTGAATGGTGCTTGTGGAGAGTTGAATTTTCAACGTTCGGATCGTCACGACCGATCGAGGTCTAAGATAGCTTCATCAGGTTATTAATTTAAACCAACAAATTAAAGACTCAGTCATTTTCTAATAGTTTAATCTCGTTGAATCTGATATCATTCAAAATATTATTTGCTGTGTAGATCCGATGGTGAAGCTGTTAGAGGAGAAGACAACCTTTCCAAATGTATCGAGGTTAAAGATAGCCTCATCAGGTTACTAATTTAAACAATAAAAATTAAACACGAGTTATTTTCTAATAGTTCGATCTCGT